CCTACTCCTCCCTCCTACTCCTCCTCTTCGCTCCTCGCTCCTCGCTCCTCGCTCCTCGTTCCTCCTCCTCCTCCTCCTCTTCCTCCTCCTCCTCCTCCTCCTCGGGTTCTTATGGCGGACAACACGGGCACACTTGACGCACCTCCACGTCGACCCAGTCCAAAGCACGCGACGAGGGCGACCACATTGCGGGCTAGATCCCCGAACAACTCTTTAGCTTTCGGGAGTCCTGGAATAATATTGGCCATACCTACAGCTACTTCCCCCAGTCAGCTAGACGCACCTCGTACCTATTGATGTCTTGGGAAACATATGGGTGATGAGGGTCTGCACCACCTTTAGCAAGCTCATCTGCCTTGTCGTTGCCCCGTTGGTGGCACAAGACAGTACCTGTGAGCTCGCCATTCATGTGAGCCTTGGCCTTCTTCAGACTCCACTGGTGAACTGCTGGACGAGCAAAGGCACGCCATACTTCTGACAACGGGCTGGCACCTGAAATCGACTTCCAGGGGTCTCGGCATCCTCGTAGACGTGCCTCGCAATCAATGTGAATCAAATACTCGACCGCGTCTGGGTCGTCCTCCTCTCCTAGCTCGAGGTGTGTGAGTCCAGAAAGGGGGGCGTAAACTTCTCCAACAGCCGAGCTCTGGGGAAGGAAACCAGGAACATTCCCATAGATGCCTCTGATGACTCCTCCCTCCTGCTTGAGAGAAACGAAACCCCATCCAGCTCTAGAAACGTATTCGTAAGTACCTCCGTAACAAGACCCATCACTGTAAAGAAACTCGTTCTTGTTGAAACGGAGCGGTTCGTTCGATGGGCCCGTCAGGGCCGACATAAAATATCTTCCCTTCCCAGGCGGGTTCGTGCAGCTCTCTCGGCACTGGGAGCCACAAGCTACTCCAGCTTTCGTAATAAAAGGGAGGGGGTCTGGACCCTCCAAGACAAGCCATTTCAGACCCCCCCTGTGGGAGAACCCTCCAAAACATCGTCCCCAGACCCCCCCAGGCCCTCCAAGATAGCCTGGAAGAGACCCCCCCCGAAATGAGACCCCCCTCCCTTTATTACGAAATCTGGAGTACTGAACAACGGATCCTCGGGTCCTGCCTCCAGTCCTGCCGCAACCCACTCCGCAAGTAGACGCTTGGCACGTCGGGCTTCCGACGCCGGGCATCCAAACCACCCGTGCCAGGCTCCGTCGGTGGTGCCGTGCACTCCATTTCGACAGAAGGGGCAGAGCGGCTCCAGCTGGTAGCCCCACTTGTGCAGGTGACTACTCCAGATTTCGTAATAAAGGGAGGGGGGTCTCATTTCGGGGGGGTCTCTTCCAGGCTATCTTGGAGGGCCTGGGGGGGTCTGGGGACGATGTTTTGGAGGGTTCTCCCAGGGGGGGGGGTCTAAAACTTCTCGCCTGGGAAGGTCCAGACCCCCTCCCTTTTATTACGAAATCTGGAGTAGCCGTCACGAACGACCGTGTGAACACTTGCTTCGTCGCACGTGTTTGGAGCTTGCTGGGGCGCTTGGAGTTTCAAAAGGACCTGGGGGGTTCGACCCAAAGGCCCCGTTCCAATATCTCGGTCGCTCGCTCGTGTTCAGTCTTTAAGCCTAGCCTGCACATTCTGCTTCACGAACTCCTTTCCTAGGTCCCTGACGAAATATTTGCAAACGTATATCAGAAAGAACGCAAGGAGAACCGTCACGCATGGTAAAAATCCCAGGACCACACATCGACCACCCAGCTCTGGAAACCCACTGAAGCATGTCCTCCACAGGTCCCCATGCCAGAAACGAACATCGTTCAGCTCAGTGACCACGCTGGTTTTACCCACATCATCGCCAACATCATCATCATCATCATCATCATCATCATCATCATCATCATCATCATCATCATCATCATCATCATCATCATCATCATCATCATCATCAACATCTCTTCCTCCTTCTCCCCCTCATCCTCCTTGTCTCCCCTGCCGCTCTCGGCAGATCGGGAGGGGCAGATCGGGGGGACAGGACAGGAGTCTGCGTGCCAGCTTCCAGAGGAGCAGTCCCTAAAGGGCATGCCATTCAAATATTCCACTGCAGCGAGGGCACGTTCAGATCCCGCGCAGCTTCCGCGAACACGCGATGATCCACAAGTAACCCCTTTTACTGTCGTACGGGTGCTCGGGAAGCCCACGGATGCATGAAAGGCACACATGAAAGCAATTGCAACAAACGCTGCCACGACCACAATGCATGCGAGAGTTCTCATTCGAGCCGGTGCGTACGCTGCGTGTTTAAACAACATTGGTTGAATGTGCGGGCTCTTGTCTGTCCTCGTGGGCACTTCCGAGACGAACGGACAACGTGAGGCGGCACACTCGCATTTTCTTTTTCTGTCAAGATCATGTGTCCAGTTACCCAGACACCCTTACGAACAGTAAAACTCCGCCACGAAGCTGCAATGCATGTAGCCACTTGCCCTGGAGAGATTTTGGCTGGCAATGAACTCCCCGGCGCAGCAATATCAGCACTGGACGTTTCAACGATTGGTTCCCGTACTCCTTTTGATGACCAGACATCTTGAACAGCATCATCGCTTTGACATGTTTTTTGCCATCGAATGTCATAGAATGTATGAGTGCGTCGGCTGAGCTTCCCATCCGAAATAAAGTCGAATGCAAATCGTAAGCAGGAAGAGTGCACATAGCTGCTGAATGCCACAATTCACCGTATGGCTCATCACATGGCATATTGAAGAATGTGTACAAACTGGTAAAGTTGAAAAATCTTTCCCTACCGCGTTTTGCTGGAAACGTTGCCTGACTTTTTGCGGTCTCGATAGATGCGCATTCTCATTACCCTCACACATTTTACATGTGACACACATTTGCGAGGGGGAGGGGGGGCGGGCAAAGCGAGACGCCGGGAGGACGGCGCGGGAATGGCAGAACAGGAGGGGGGGCGTGCACAGGGAAACGCAGCGGGGGGGAGGCGTACAAGGGTGAAGAAGAGCGGGGGGGGCGGGCGAGGAGGGGGTGAAGAGAGAAGAGCAGGGAGGCAGGAACGGCAGGGAGGAAAGAAGCAGGTCGTAGGCTAGGGCGACAAACCAGGAACGAGTAGGATGGGGGAATGAAACGCTACGACGGGAACCAACATGTGGAGAGAAACGGGTACAGAGGGAAGAAGGAAGGGCAGAAAAAGGATGCCGGGCCGGAGTCTCCATCCCTTCATCCTCCTCCTCCCCCTCCTTCTCGTCCTCTCTTCCTCCTGTGCCTTCACTTTCTCTTCCTCCACCACCTCCTCATCCTCCTTCTCCTCCTCCCCCTCCATCCCCTCCCCTCCCTTCCCTGTTTTCGCCTCCCGTCTGACCCTCCAACTCATCCTCCTTCTCAACCTGCACCTCCTCCTCCTCCTCCTCCTCCTCGCACTCAGGCCGATGGCGCAACAGGATGGAACCCTTTTACTCCTGCAATTCCGTATCCCCCCTCCTCCTTGCGCGAATGTAGCGGCCCAGGGTTCTCCATCACCAGCTGGCCTGCCGCATGCTCGCGAAGGGGCTCGAGCGACCCTGCGGCAAAATCGAAACACTTTCTTCGGCACTCAGGGACGCACCCCCTCCCTCCTGCCCCCCCCTGCAAATTCTGCGCAGATGGGGTCGGAGGATCGCACCGAATCGCCGATGCAACGTGTGCCAGCGCTGGCGCGTGCTTGTGCACGGACGCCCTCCAGCACGACGCAGGGGGTGCAATGAGGGCCGACACAGCGGGGTGAACTCACACTGGGGTAACACACGTCCTGAGGACCATCCCTAGACATCGGGAGCGGCCAGGAGGGGGGTGTCCAAGAGGGGGGGGTGCAAATCATGACCAGCGGCATGTGCGCGGCCCAGCGGGGGGGCCAGGGACGTAATGAAAGAAGAAGAGGCGCCATGAAATCTGGGGAAACCTCATGGCCCCCGCCATGATATCCCCCCCCCCTAGTCATCACCCCCCTCTTTGCCGCCCCCGACCATCCCTAGACAAGAACAACAATATCCACCCCCACCGGGGAAACCGTGGCTCCGCTGGGCAACCCGGCAACCCTGCGTGGGGACGGGTGCCTTCTCCCTCGGGCCCTGGGGCACCCACCCCCCACCCAGAGGGGGTGCCCTGGGAGAGCCAGCCTGCCCTGCCCAGCTTGGGGTGGGCATGCTTCTGACGGTGATGAGCCGTCCACATGCCGCTCGACCCACCGACCCAGTCTTGCTCCGTCCCCGTTCGGTCGGTCTGGGTTCCCTACGACGAAGCGGACGAGGACAACATCGGCTGAGGACAAATCGAGAATGTCTGAGATCTGGCGACATTGGAGGATGTCTCGGGCGCCGCGGACGTCTCAGAGCGTTCGAGAACGCTCTGAGAGCGCTCCGGAACGCTCTGGAACAGATGTATCCTCGACCTAGCCCCGTTCGAGAGAAGGAGGAGGAGGAGGAGGAGGAGGAGGAGGTGGAGGAGGAGGAGGAGGAGGAGGAGGTGGAGTGGGGAGAGAGGGTGGGGCAGGAGGCGGAAGGGGGGGGGGGACGAGGAGGGGGACGAGGAGGAGGAGGAGGAGGAGGAGGAGGAGGACCAGGAGAGTTCCCTCCCGCCCTGAAGGGGCCGGCGGTGAACGGCGCCGCGCTGCCTTGCTGTAGTGCTTGTGGACCGCGCACATGACCTTCCTCTTGGCAAGCACCTCCGCCACCTGGGCCGGGAAGGGGGAGGCCTGGGGCGTCGCTTACAATCGGACCTTTTCTTGGGGGGGAGAAGAAGGAGGTAGAGGAAAGGGACGACCGCGACGCAACAAAATGCGGCAGAGCATCCATAATCACCCCGTTCTGGCTCGAAAAAGGCGGCCGCGCGAGGAGGAGGAGGAGGAGGAGGAGGAGGAGGAGGAGGAAAGACGAGGGAGAGGAAAGGGGAGAAAGAACCTAGGACATAATAACGTCCTTCAAGAACATATGACCCTCCGCCAGCCCAAACTGAAGAGCATTCGAGGGTGCCCTCCCCAAGGATGCGCAAGAACATCCAACAAGCACGAAGAACATCAGGGCATCCTCCCCGAACTGACCTCGATCTTGTACCTCGGTCCGACTGTACTATGGAGGTGGGGGTGGGGGCAACACACGGGGGTTCAAGGAAGGTGCCCCTTGTGGGCCCGTTTGCCCCGTTGCTGCAACCCATGATCCCCCGCCATTCATCGCCCACCCATTCGAGCGAGGATCAAAAACGGGCCTTACGCGAGATGGCACAGCGACCTTACGTGGTGGCTTACGCGGGCCACCACCGCGGCAAGCCACGTTGGAGACGAGGGTGCAGGAGCGCGACCTTACGCGGGGAGCCTACGCGCAAATGTCGGCGCAGTCGAACAACCCTTTTTTCGTCGCTCACTTGAACATCGTTTCACCTATCCTTATCCCCACCGTTGGCACGGCCTTGGCTCCACTGACCGCTTCACCACTCTAGATTCGGGCCGGGCGAAAGGGGGGGATAGCAAAGGGGGGGATAGCACAGGGGGGGGTTGAACATCAGCTCACGCAGCTGATCTTCCTGGCGCCTCCCGGCGCCAAGAGGCGGCTATATGTATCGAGGACTGTGCCCCATCGGCGAGGCTGAAAACAGCGGCATGCAGCAACTTTCGTAACCCCCCCTTTCCCAATCCCTCCCTTTCGTCCGGCCCGATGGATGAGGATGTATGCTGTTCCCATCGGCTTCCGCGAGGCTTCTCCCCCCATCTTTGGGGTCCGGCGGGGCCCATCCGTGGCGCAGCACCCGGCCATCGCGGAGAAGAGCGGGGGGGGGGTGGCGGGCGCGGAGTGCGTCGCGGGGGGGTCGCGGGGGAGGACGACGACGACGACGACGACGACGACAAAGAAGAAGACAACAATCATGTTGAGACGGTTCACTCTTACTTGCCCGCGTGTCAATCGACATGTATACCCCAAACCATCGATTTGCGCCCTCTGCGTCGATCTTCCCCCCACCCATTGGAGGTAAATATATCTCTTCCTTACCTGTCACATGTATTTTGCGCAGCCCCTGAATAGGAGAGGAGGGAATCCGGAAAACCGTATAGCGAAGAGGAAAGGACCGTGGGAAGGGAGAAGAATGGAGCACGAGACAGATTTGCAGGAATACTGTCAGGAAAAGGAAAGCAGCCGGTAGAACCCAACAGGCGGGTCGGGCGGGCGGACCCTAATGAGCAGGTCGGGCGGGCGGGCCCAGACTGCCTGGTCGAGAGCACGGTTCGCTGAAGCGTCAGTCCTGCACGAATCGCGAGTAAGTCTCCAGCGATAGCACGATTCCCAAGTAAATGTTCGCCAGCGTGGACCGCAAACAGTGTGTCTACCAGTATAGGTTGCGCCATGAATTCAATGCATCGCGTATGCATATGTACATGTATGTATATGTATATGTGTGTTGCGTTGTCGATGGTGTGCAATATATGTTGTACGACATCTTGTGCGAACTGTGGTGTGCAACATATACTGTGCAACATAAGTTTGCAACCTGTGTTGTATAATACGTGTGGCGCCGTCGATGTGGTGAAATACTTGTGGTGCTCTATGCGGCGCAATATATGTTATGCGACCCATGTAGTGCAATCTATGCGGCGACGGGGCGGCGACGGCGAGCACGGAGCCGCCAGACCGCCAGCCAGGCCCAGTTCCTTAGACGAGAAAGAGAGAACCCCTAAATGCAATCACTAGTTGGGGAATCGTGAGGAAGTCCAGGGCGAGCGCTTGATTCCTGAGTGTCAAAAGCACGGCGTCTGAATAAATCCTTCCAGCCCGTTGGGCTAAGGTGGTCTAACGGGTTAATTCTTGCCTCATCCGAAACTCTCTTCCACTCTTTGGGGGGTACCCTCCCTCTCCCCTCCCTCTGGCTATCTGGTGGAGGGGGCGCGAGCTGGCAGGGTGTACTTCTTCGCCTCGGATGTCTCCACGAGGGCCTTCGATGTTCCGGAATGGCCTCCAAGGCCGCTCAACATAGCCGAAAAAGTTCGATATCGCTTCCGACACATCTCCAAGAGGCCCAGCGAGGGCCACACGACACGGTTTCTCCAAGTGCTCTCGGAGCCCCCCTCAGGACCCTCCGAGGGGCCAAATTCCTTCGCCTCGTTTCGCTCCAGATGCGCTTTGGAGGCTCCAATCCGGGGATGGACAGACCTCCCTTTAGAAAAAAACGTGGCTTAGTGAACACAACCGGAGGCCCAAACCTGGCGGGCGCAGGCCTGGAGAATAGCGGCCGCGGCGCCCTCTCGAGAACCGAAGACGGACAATTCGCGAATCGACGTGTCACCGTTGGGGGTTCTGTCCATCCCCGATCGCCCCGAGAGGATTCCAGAGATCCCCCACGAGGGGGCCCCACGAGGCCCCCCCGGGCGGCCCATACGGCGCCCGGGAGCGGCCCAGGTGCGCCACGGGAGGCGCTCCCGAGTGTCCTTGGAAAAGGGGGACTCGAGGCCCCCCCCTCTGATCGATGGCCTCCCAGATGGCCTCAATCAGGAGGGCAAGAGACACACAGACAAAATGAATCGTCGGCCTCTCAGAAAAGATGGGAGAATATATGGGAGGTGGGGTGGAAGACAAAAGCCCAGAACATGTGATAACATATGGGGAATCGTTTTATGTGTGTGTATTTATTTGTGTCCTGGGGCCCCTTCACTCAAGAGGACACCCAGGGCTCCCAAGATTTGTTTTTCCCCCCAGTTCCTCAAGTTTGCTCAGGTTCCTCAGGTTTGCTCAAATGCCGGCGTACCGAATGCATGCTGCCGGTTCCTCTGGTTTGCTCATATGCGTACCGAATACATGCTGTCGTGTCCAAGCCTGCCGTCGTAACCAAGAATATCCGCACTGCATGACAATGATGGCCGGTGATTCCCAGGGCTCCCAAGAGGGCCCCAGGAAAGCCACAGGAGGGCCCAGGGCCCAGAGACAGCCCCACGGCTGCCCCGAGAGCGCCCCGAGGGGCGCTCCCACGAGGGCCGCGAGAGGCGGTGGTCTCGCTCCTCCTCCTCCTCCTCCTCCTCCTCCTCCTCCTCCTCCTCCTCCTCTCTCCTCCTCCTCCTCCTCCTCCTCCTCCTCCTCCTCCTCCTCCTCCTCCTCCCTCCTCTTCCTCACCTCGCCTTCCCGAGGGCCTCAGGGATTGCCCGAAGAGGCCCTCCAAGGCCAGTCCCTCGCTCCCAAGGATCTCTCTGTTCATCCTGGTTGCCCGCTTTGTTTCACTGTATGTTTGTGTCTCTTCGTCCCTTTCCCCGTCAACTCTCATGGACAACGCTTCTGAACGGCGTGGTGGGGATACGCGAAGCGTGGCGAATTGCGAAGTCCCCACCGAAAGCGCGACTCTTCAATAGGCTGAGGAGGTATCATGCGGGAGCCGGTGTTGAAGTAGTTCGGGAGCCAACGACGCAATTGTGGATACCCAACACGCTCCTTGGTCAAGTAACCGGCTGTGAGCCCTGGGGCAATCCAATTGAACGGCAGAACACCTGAAGTGACAATCCCATCAGCCCTCTGGGCGTGAGTGGTTTCGAGCGTTACCTCTTCCACCCCCCCTGATTCCCTTTCAGGGAGGGGCTCGCCCCTCCCACTGCCCCGTCTCCCTGGACCTGGGGACGGAGGGGTTCGCGGCCCCCTGGGGAGTCCCAGGAAGCCTCGGCGAGGAGGCACAAATCGTTGACTCGAATGGCTTGGGCCACATTCTGGCTTCCTGCTGGGGGAATGGAATCTGGTACAGTCGACCCGTATGGTAAGGATGCGCGGTAAGGACGTAAGGGCCTTGGGCGCCCATTTCGAAGCGGCCAACGGAAGTGGCCAGGGATGGGCCGAGGAGGCAAGGCTGCAAGGGGTTCCTTGAGAAGCTTGCCCATCCTTACTATGCGGGCTGACTGTACACCCCCCTTCTTTCACCGATCTCCTCCAAGATTGCCCCCCAAGGCTCCCTTCAAGGGTGCCCCAAGGGTGCCCCAAGGCGGCCCCAAGAGGGCACCACGAGGCGCCCAGGAGGCCCCAAGAGGCCCCCAAGAAGCTTCCAAAGAGGCTTCGAGAAGCCCCAAAGAGTCTCTCCCGAGGCGCCCAAGACGCTCCACGAGGCCTCTGGGACCGCCTGAATGCCCCGGAAGACGCCCCGATAACTCCCGAGAAACTCTCGAGAAACATCCGAAGAGACTCCGAGAGACATCCAAGAAGCCTCTGGCCCTCTGCTCGCCCTCCTCCTCCTCCTCCTCCTCCTCCTCCCTCCTCCCTCCTCCCTCCTCCCTCCTCCCTCCTGCCCCTCCCCCATCACGCCGAAAGAAGGACCGCTTTGGGTCCAGGAAGGGGCTCGCTGTTCCTTGGGTCACTCCGTGGCTGTCCTACTAGCCCTCATCGTGCACCCGAGCTCTTCTGGTGCCAGCAGGGCGACTTCGTCCCGAAGCCGGCGTTCCTTGCTTCAGCGGCCCGACTGTACGGCGGCTTCCCCAGCCCTCGTATTACAATGCATGCTCCTCGCTCGCCGCCGAGTACAGGCGGTGGACACACCTCCCTTTAGTAGACCTCCCCTTAGTGAAAACGGCCTGGGACCGAAACCGACGGACCTGGACCCGCAAAAATGACGGTCGCGACGCCCTCTCGCGAACCGAAAAAACGGCCAATTCCTCAATCGACGTGTCAGGGTAGGAGGTCTGTCCAACCCCGAGAGTACAGCTGGCTCTCCCCGCGCCTCCCCGCGCAGAAGGCAGCCCCTCGCATCGACGAGAAGAGCGCCCCGGCGGCGGGGGCGAGCCAGGCCGCACGCCGCAGGTCTCGCAGCTGCCCCGCCCCATGCCGCGCGATGCCAGAAGTGCCCCCCCATTGGCCCAAGGCATCCCCAGGGTGTCCAGGGAGGCCCCCACGGCCTCCAGCGCACCCCTCACAAGGCCCAGGGGGCCCCAGGGGCTCCAAAATTGCGCGGAAAGCTGGTGGTACCTAGGGCGAGGAGGCGGCGGCTGGCAGTGCCGCGCACGAGCAGGCAAAGGAGGAGGAGGAGGAGGAGGAGGAGGAGGAGGAGGAGGAGGAGGAGATGAGCGGGCTCGACACGCCGCCGCCGCGGAAGAGGAGGGCCACGCCCCAGGTCAAAGGCGAGGAGCCAGAGGCGAGGTCAGGCGTGTTCCCCTGAAGGCTGATTTTGGACGACCACTGAAGATTTGTCAACACAAGTCAAGCATGGCCAACAGAAGTAGAAACATCGTCCTCAGACTATGTTGGACTATCTTACAATATTCCTCCTGAAGATGGACGTGCCCGACTTAACTTTAAAGGAGGGCCACAAAAGACGTACGCGCCCAGCCACGTACATGAACACGGCCGCCCAGTCCGCGAGACCAGCCTCGTTTTACGAACATTCGCGCAATGCGTACTTTCGAAACTAACGTGGACTCGTGCACATGTACGTCCTCGCTTCGCTCATGACTTCAGCGACACCCGACCATGTCGTCATCTCTGCCGCAGCCAATGGCGTTGTTGTTGCCGCCACCGGCGATGCCTCGGCGACGCTGGCGCGGCGAGCGGGTTAGGTTCCGCGTCCAGCCGCAGCGCTCGGCGACGCTGGCGCGGCGAGCGGGTCTGGCTCCGCGTCGAGCCGAAGCGCCGATGCGGCGCGATCTGCTGGCCCCATCGAGTCGGGCCCCGCTTGTGAGGCTCGGAGCCCTATGCTTGGGTCGGGCATGTCCGCCTACAGGCGGAGTTCGGAAGAAAACTGCATAGCCCTCCAAAGTTGAAAGGTTATTAACAGAGCACGAAACATCGTCACCAGTCTTGAACATCCCAGGGATCCGATGACGCGCTTTTTCAATACGGGGTCCCCGGAAGTCTCGACCCATTCCCCAAGACCGGTTTTTCATCCTGAGTCGTGTTTTGACGGTCCGGGGGCCCGGCGAGGGCCCCTGGAGGCCGAAAACTGCGAAACACCTCCGTCCTGTTTTTTTCCACACGCTGGATCTCTGGGATTCCTCCTCCAGAGGGACGTTCCCGATGTCACATTCCATGCCCCCCCCTCTTCGTCCGACAACCGGAGCAAATTTTCCCACGAACTGCCGAAGTGCCCGCCGCTGGGGACCCGCCTCGCTTCCCGGGGCGGTTGCCAAAAAAAGTGCCCCTGGCCCAAGATGCCCCCCTCCTCCGCCTCCTCCGCCTCCGCCTCCTCCGCCTCCTGCCCCGGGGGGGCCCCCGCGAGTGGGGTCGGGCTTCGGCCCCCTGGCGGGGATCGCCGGGCCCTCGAGGCGACAAGCCCCCGCACCCCGGGGGACGCCGCCAAAGTGCGGTTTCCTTCACCCGGGGGGGTCGCCAGGTCCCGTGGCCTCCCCCAGGGCGGTGCTGGATCCCCCCCCAGCGCTCGCCGCCCTGGGGCGGGACCGGCGGCTCGTCTTCGTCGTGTCGTTCGTCCGTCTCGTGTCGTGCGTTCGTGTCGTGGCCGTTTCGTCCCCCCGTCGTGTCGTTTCGTGTCGTGCCGCTTTTTGGTTCGGTCCTGGGGGTCCTGGGGTCCGAAACCTGGGTCCCTGGGGGCGGGTGGCGCGGCGCCGCGCCGCCCGTCCTTTGGGACCCCCGTCGTTTTTCCCCGTGTCCTTCCGTCGGACTCGCCCGCCGGCCGCGCGCGCGGGGCGCCGCGCCGCCGCGGCCGGCGCGGCGACACCCTGCGGGCTGAAGGCTGCACGGAGCAAAAAAAAAACTCCTCCTCCCCCTGCTCCTCCTCCTCCTCCTCCTCCTCCTCCTCCTCCTCCTCCTCCTCCTGCCTCCGCCTCCCTCCTCCTCCGCCTCCTCTGCTCTCCTCATCCTCCTCTCCTCCCTCCTCCTCCTCCCTCCTCCTCCTCCTCCTCCTCCTCCCCCCCTCCTCCTCCTCCTCCTCCTCTCCTCCTCCTCCTTCCTCCTCCTCCTCCTCCTCCTCCTCCTCCCTCCTCCTCCTCCTTCTCCTCCTCCTCCTCCTTCCTCTCTCCTCCTCCTCCTCCTCCTCCTCCTCCTCCTCCTCCTCCCTCCTCCTCATCTCCTCCTCCTCCTCCTCCTCCCCCCCCCTCCCCTCCTTCCTCCTCCTCCTCCTCCTCCTCCCTCCTCCTCCTCCTCCCTCCTCCTCCCTCCTCCTCTCCTCCCCCCCCCCTCCTCCTCCTCCTCCTCCTCCTCCTCCTCCCTCCTCCTCCTCCTCCTCCTCCGCCTCTCCTCCTCCTCCTCCTCCTCCTCCTCCTTCCTCCTCCTCATCTCCTCCTCCTCCTCCTCCTCCTCCCTTCTCCTCCTCCTCCTCCCTCCTCCTCCTCTGGGCATCCTGGGGGCACCCTGGGCCAGGGGCACCCGCTCCCCGGCGCCCGGATCTCCTGCCGCAGGGACGGCGTGGCGGGGCCGGCCGCGCGCCTCGAAGGTGCCGATGGTGTCCATGTTGGCCGCGATGATGGGCACGCCCGACCAGGTCTGGGCGCGCAGGCCGCCGCCGCCGACTGGGTAGTCGAAGCCAATCTGGCGCCAATCTGGCAGGCCCAATCTGGCAAACGGGGGCAATCTGGCGAGGGAGCCAACGCGAATCCAGCCTGGCGAATAACCCAAATCCTCCAATATGGCCAGGCCAGATTGGCCCTTGGGGCCCAATCCAGTCTGACAGTCTGGCCTTCGACTACCCAGGCCGAGAGGCGAGGCCCCCAAAAACGGCCCAGGAGGCTTGCAAGACGCCCAAAATGGCCTCCAAGACGGCCCTGGAGCATTCCAAGAGGGCCCCAAGTCGGCTCGGAGGCCGCCGCCGAGAGGCGGGCGACGGACGGCGGGCGGATGCTCGTTCTGGGGACCTTCCTGGAGCCACTCGCTCCACTCGTGCGTCGAAGCTGCGTCGAACGTCAGTCGATGTGGGTCGACCCTGAGTCGAACCTGAGCCGAACCTGAGCCGAACCTGAGCCGAACCTGAGTCGAACCTGAGTCGAACTTGAGTCGAACTCGAGTCGAACTTGAGTCGAACTGGGGTCGACCAGATCCGTTAGGTGGGCTCCAGGGAGGTCCCCGAAACGAGCATCGAAGGTCTGGGCGCGCGGGCCGCCACCGCCGAGAGGCGAGCGACGGACGGCGGGCGACTTCCGCCCAGACGCCGGGGACGACGACCTACGACGGCGTGACGTGCTCGATCCCGGCGCTCTTTCTGAGGGGCACCCGTCTCGGGGGGGGGGGGGGGCACACTTCAGAGCCCCAGGAGAGGCCCCCCTGAAATCCACGGCGTGCCCCCAAGAGAGGATCCCAGGAGGCCTCTCAGAGGCTTCTTGCCCACGGCCCAGGTGCGGTGGCGGGATGGGACGAAGGCCACTGGGCATTCTTATCATGAGTTTGATTAGCACTGAAAGAAGCCCTAACCCTTTGGAAGGGGACCTAAGTTAGGAGGGCCAGAAACATCAGGTATACAGGGTTCTTTTCTGTGGATGTGCAGTGCAACGCCGCTCTCTCCCTCTCGTCTCGTGGGCCTCGCGGGGATCGCCCCTGCAGAGCGTGGTGCTGCGTGCGCATGGCGTCTGCTGGCCCCCCAGACTGGAGGCCAGGTGACCACAGCGAGGAGCGCGACCAGGAAGGCCCTCCCTCCTGCCTGCCCCCAGCTCCTCCCGCGGGCCCTGCCCGTCTTCGCAGGCCCCTCTGCCAAGCAAACGTTCACAGCGTTTTCGGGTGAGCGCGACGCGTTTCGGGTGCACTTGGCCCCCCCTCTCGTCGGGCGTGGGTCCAAGCTGCTCCTGCGCGGTGCGCGCACACTAATTACATGCACGCGTGCGCGCAGAGGCAAAACGCGAACGCTATTGACGCCACAATTGGGAGGCCAGGAGCCCACCAAGTTGGCCCAAGTTGGCTCGAGGCTGGCCCAAGACGACCCAAGAGGCCTCCAAGAGGGCCTCCAGGAATGCCAGAAAACAAAAGCACTGATGTTCCGTAGGCTTTCGAAGGATTTTGATGTTTGCTTCGTTTCGGCCTTCCGACGGCCCGATACGGCCCAAGAGCCCCCAAAGATCGTCCCAAGATCGCCCAAGAGGCCGCCAAGATGGTCCCAGAACGGCCCAAGAGGCCCTCAAGACGGCCCCCAGAGGGCCCCAAGACGGCCCAGGAGGCCTTGTAAGACGCCCAAGATGGCCTCCGAGACGGCCCTGGAGCATGCCCTAAGTCGGCCCATAGAGGCCCCCAAAACAGTTTCCGACGGCATCAGACGGGTCAGAAGCCCACCAATACGGCCGAAGATGGCCCTAAGATGGCCCACGACGGCCCAAGAGGCCTCCAAGAGGGCCTCCAGGAAGGCCCGAAAAGACCAACATCATTGATTCCCCAAGTGCCCCCAAAGATCGCCCAAGCGGCCCAAGACGGCCTCAAGAGGCCCCCATGACGGCCGAAGAGGCCTCGAAGACGTTCAAGGTAGCCTCGAAGGAGCCCTCCAAGACGTCCTCCAAGAAGGCCCGAAAGGGTCAAAATGGCTTCCAGGCGGCCAAGATGACCTTCAAGATGCCCACGTGTTCCCCGAAGGATTTCCAAACCGACTCGGGGAACACATGGTCCGATAGCTTGGCAGGTCTGGCCTCAACGTTCGGCCACATAGGCGCTTCCACAAAGGCAGGGGGCGGCGGTGATTCGCCGTAGGCGTCTTCGATCCGCCGTCCCCTGTCGATTCATCGCAAGGGTTCCTGGCGTGCTAGACGATGTCGGTTTTGGTGTTGGTTCTTTTCCAAAAGGAACCCCCCCTGGGGCGTCGGCCCGTCCCGCCAGCCACCCGGAAAGGATCACAGTCCCCCATTTGTTCGCACAAGATGGCCTCCAAGATGGCCACGTTGGCCCAAGATGGCCGCAAAGATGGTCCAACATGGCTTCCAAGTCCGCCCAAGATGGTCCAAGGCGGCCTTCAAGACGGCCAAAGAGAGTCCAAGATACCTCCACGTTCGCCCAAGAGGCCTCCAAGACGGCCCAAGAAGATCCAAGAGGCCTCCAAAAGGTCCTCAAGGAGGGCCCGAAGAGGCCAAAATCATTGATTGTCCTAAGGGTTTTGAAGGATTTTGAGATTCGCTTCTTCTGGGCATTCCGATGGCTCAAGACGGCCCAAGAGGCCCCCAAGATCGCCCCAAGATCGCCCACGAGGCCTCCAAGAGGGCCCCATGACGGCCCAAGAGGCCGCCAAGACGGCCCCCAGAGGGCCGCCAAGACGACCCAAGAGGCCTCCAAGAGGGCCCTCAGGAGGGCTCGAAGAGGCCAGAATCATTGGTGTTCCTTAGGTGTTTGAAGGATGTTGGCATTTGCTTCTTTTCGGCCTTCCGACGGCCCGAGACGGCCCAAGAGCCCCCAAAGATCGCCCCAAGATCGCCCAAGAGGCCTCCAAGATGGCCCCAGAACGGCCCAAGAGGCCCCCAAGACGGCCCCCAGAGGGCCCCAAGACGGGCCAAGAGGCCTCCAAGACGCCCATGATGGCCTCTAAGACGGCCCCGAAGCACCCCAAGAAGCCCCCAAGTCGGCCCAGAGAGACAGCAACGACGGCTTCCGACGGCATCAGACGGGCATGGAGCCCACCAAGATGGCCGAAGTTGGCTCTCGGCTAGCCCAAGGCGACCCAAGAGGCCTCCAAGAGGGCCCACAGGAGGGCTCGAAGAGGCCAGAATCATTGGTGTTCCTTAGGTGTTTGAAGGATGTTGGCATTTGCGTATTTTCGGCCTTCCGACAAACCGAGACGGCCCAAGAGCCCCCAAAGATCGCCCCAAGATCGCCCAAGAGGCCACCAAGATGGCCCCAGAACGGCCCAAGAGGCCCTCAAGACGGCCCCCAGAGGGCCCCAAGACGGCCCAGGAGGCCGTGTAAGACACCCAAGATGGCCTCCGAGACGGCCCTGGAGCATTCCAAGAGGGCCCTAAGTCGGCCCATAGAGGCCCCCAAAACAGTTTCCGACGGCATCAGACGGGTCAGAAGCCCACCAATACGGCCGAAGATGGCTCTAAGATGACCCAAGGCGGCCCAAGGGGCCTCCAAGAGGGCCTCCAGGAAGGCCCGAAATGGCTAAAATCATTGATTCCCCATGGGTTTTTGAAGGATTTTGGCATTTGCTTTTTTCGGCCTTCCGACGGCCCGAGACGGCCCAAGTGCCCCCAAAGATCGCCCAAGAGGCCCAAGACGCCCCCAAAAGGCCCCCCCAGACGGCCGAAGAGGCCTCGAATACGCTCAAGATGGCCTCGAAGGAGCCCTCCAGACGTCCTCCAAGAAGGCCCGAAAGGGTCAAAATGGCCTCCAGGCGGCCACGATGACCTTCAAGATGCCCACGTGTTCCCCGAAGGCTTTCCAAACCGACTCGGGGAACACATGGTCCGATAGCTTGGCAGGTCTGGCCTCAACGTTCGGCCACATAGGCGCTTCCACAAAGGCAGGGGGCGGCGGTGATTCGCCGTAGGCGTCTTCGATCCGCCGCCCGCCCCCTGTTGGCTTGCCACAGGGGTGGCGGGCGTGCTGGATCCTAGACGGTTTGGTGTTGGTTCTTTGTCTCACAAGAACTCTCCCTGAGGCTTCGGCCCGTCCCGTTGGGGTGCCCCTCTCGTCGGTTTTTTTCATTAAGATGGCTCAACATGGCCTCCAATATGGCCAAGTCAGAGATAGTCTCTAAGATGCCTCCAAGGCGGCAGAGACTGCCTCAAGATGGTCCAAGATGGCCTCCTAGACGGCCCAAGAGGGACCAAAATGCCTCCAAGTCGGCCTAAGAAGCTTCCAAGACGGCCCAAGAGGCCCCCAAGAGGCCTCCAACACGGCCCACGAGGCCTCCAAGAGGACCTCTTGCAAGGCCCGAAGTGGCCAAATCGTTGATTTGTTTTAGACTGTTGATTTTTTTTTTCTTTCCCTGTCGCCCTCCCCTGCGCACATCCACAGATCGGGAGCAGCGCGTGTATAGGTCTGTTGAGCCGCATTGCGCGGTGCTGGCGATGGTGAGCTATGAGTTCGGCAGTAAACAACAAGCGCGGCGCGGCACGACATCTGAAAGTCGGCAACCGCGCGCGGCACTGCACTGGACACTACCAGGTAGATAGAGCATGCCATTTAATGCCAGCCTTGTACTTGAAGAGGCGAGCGGTATTCACGTTTTTTTTCCCTCCTGAATGCCATGGACCTCAGGCGGTCTTTTGGGACCAGAAGTTGGTGGGGGACCTGCGCATCCTGTCAGAGAACTACTGGCGGGGCAGAGCTTCTGGAAGTCTTGTGACTTGCCGATCTGCGCGCGAGGCTGACCGTGGTGCAATGCCCTAGCAAGCAGGGCGAAATCGCTAAGGGAATCGCGTGGCGCGGCAATCACTCATCTCGCGCCTCGCCGCAACCAGCTGAGGCCAGTCTCTCGTCTGGGCGCGTCTCGCTTTACCCCAACGGCTGCCGCGCGAAAATTTGATATCCTCGAGACTTATGCGAAGCACCTCCGCAGACTGCTGCGTCGGGCAGGGAGGACGAAGCCAGTCCAAGTGCAGGGTCGCACAAACACAGAGCTTCAGGCGGCGCATATGCGCCGTGCGGAGAAAAATCGGCTCCTGGAGAATGGCCGGAGCGGCATGGTCCGTGGAATCAAAGTGGGCCGTCTGAGCAAAATCGATGAGCCTCTCACGCTGGTCGCTCCTCACTAGCGGGAGGAGCTCGAGCTCGTCCTCCGCGAGCCCCATGCACATCTTGAACGTGTCGGTGGCGTCCACGATGCTCCATTCATCGCTGAGCAGATCAATCCAGGCGCTGGTCTTGCCTTCCTCGAGGTGCTCAGAAGAAGAGGACGAGCTGAATGCAGCGTCCCCCTGATTCCGCGGCGCGCCACTTGTGAACGAAGGCGCCAGTGCGTGAGGGCTGGAACGTCGCCTCGGCTCTCGTCCAAAGCTGCCCGGTCCGCCCTGCGACCTGCGGAGCTCCAGCGGGGGAAACGAGTCGGACTGCTCGCGGATTCCCACCAGGTACGCTTTTTTCCCCGCCCTGCTCAGGAACTGCACCACGAACACCTCAACCTCCAGCGTGATCCCAGCGCTGTCCTTCATGGACACGTGGAAGGCGATGCTCAGGCGTGACGGCTCTCCCCCGTTCTGTCCAGAGGATGTGGCGTTCCGAACCTGCTCGGAGAACTTGGCGCAGTCCTCGGCGGACGCGAGGAAGCTGCGCAAATCCTCCTGCTGCAGCTGCCGGGTCTTGCTGAGAAACAGCATGTTGCGCAATTCCGCCGAGTCCTCCTCGAGCCGCAGCTCGTCGTCCACCACCACGACCACATCGCAGACGCTCCGCAGCACGGACTGGGCAGCGGCCAGCGCGCTGCGGGAAGATTGCGCTTCGAGCTCAAGCCGCGTCAACTGTTTCAGCAGCCAATTGACGAAGATCAGACACAGCACGCTGACGAAAGAGATTACCGAGAGTTGCGCAGCCACCCTGAAAGTATGCGAGTTGGCACAAGGGCCACCGCTGCGCTGGCCGACAGCAAGAGTGAGGCAAGCCATCGCGTTGATGATGGCGATCCAGAACGCATTCAGCCATGGCTTCAAGTGTAGGTAGCTAATTGTAAGAGAAACGACCCAGGTGCCGAGGGCGTAGGACAAGACTGCATCTGCAGGAACAGCGATCGGCGACATGTTGACGCTCGAGAAAGCCATCATGAATGAGTAAATCCAGTCGGCAGAACGTGCTGTGACTACGGAGGGTGCGATCCAGATGACCAGTACCATTGTGGCCATTGCGAGTGAGCTGAACTTCTGTGCGAACGACGTGGGAACGGTACCCCCGAACCACAGAGCCAGGATGATGATCATGCCGATGCACTGCGCCAGTGGCAGCCCTTTGACGGACTGCTCCAGTTTTCTCCTATGGAACTCCCCGTCCGCCTGCTGCACGACCGAGTTCATGGCCTTGTGCTCTCCGCCCTGCTGGAGCTTTCCTCGAGCCTGCCTCAGTGGCACCACCAAGTGCTGCAGCAGCCCCTTCACGAGTGCGCCAGACGACGCAAACCGACTGCCCCGCCAGAGCGCCACGCACGCGCCGAGCAGCAAGTAGGTGCAGCCAGCCGCGAAGAGGGCGACATCAATGTCCTCCCTTGGGGAAAACACCTCCATGCCTGGTCTCGGGGCCGCCCAAATGGAGACAGAGCAGTCTGGGGCCGCCAAAGGAAGGTTCCGACAGCGTCAGACGAGCCAGGAATGCCCTGAGACGGCCAAAACTTATCTTCCCCGCCATCCTCCCCCAAGTGTTGCTCGAAGGGTTTCCACACCGGCTGGGGGAGCACATGGTCCGATAGCTTGGCCAAGCTCTTGCCACAACGCTCGGCCACACGGGCGATTTCAGAAGGCAGGGGGCGGCGGTGATTCGCCGCAGGCGTCTTCGATAACGCCAACGTCCTCATATGCGCTCATGATTCCTATCCGCCCCCGCATGATGTTTCCAAATGCGCCACGGCAGCGCCGATACGCACCGACGCGACCCTGATAGATTCCACTATGATGGAGAGGGGCCGGCGGCAGGTGGTGAAGCCCTTACGGATATGTAATAAAAAAACGAACCCTTCATGTATGGAGGAAGGTCAAAGGAGATTCGACAAGGGGGGCCGGATGGATGGGAATGGAAGAAGTCGACTGATGGGCATGATGGGGGCGGGAACGAGGATGTCCTTTTGGGGCATCCTTGAACGAACCATCGCCGGCGGCAGGCGTGTTTGGGAACAGGTGGGAGCAACGTGCCTCGCTATCGTAGACGAGCTCGCCTTCAACAGATGACGCGACCACGACATGTTATTGGATCGGACGAAACCGGACGGCACGGGGATAATACGCGCCCCGTCGAGGTGGCCACTGGAATGCAACACTCTGCAACTCCAGTGCCTTCATATTCCCTACCCCCTCTTCTGCGGATTGTTTCCCACCTTCCTGGGGGGATAAGGGAAAACGATAATGATCTGTACGGGTGTCCTCATCCGCGCCCACGCATCCGGAATTTGGACGCGTCTCAACGGTTACGCCGTCATCCTCCTCCTTTCCCTTATGCTCCTCCTCCTCCTCCTCCACTTCCTCTTCCTCTTCCTACTTGTCCTCTTCCTCCTTGTCCTCCTCCTCCTCCTCCTCCTGATCAGCAGCATGCCCTCCTTGCGCGGCACCCGCGCTGCGAAACCTAGCCCGTGGATTGCTGCCAAAGGGGGCCACAGAACAAGGTTCAGCGCCACCGCCGCGCCATCATGATCGTCACCTCCGTCTTCATCAGTTTGCTCCTCCGTCCTGCCCCCGCCACCCCACCCCCTCATCCGAATCATTACATTCCTCATTCCTCCTGTTCCGCCTCGCACTTCCCCATCTCTTGTCAAAGAGGACAGGGCGCTGCCAAGAGCAAGGGGGGCACCACTGCGCGAGACTCCCATGCTCGTTGCTTCCGATGGTCGTGCGGGTGACGGCATGGTGGTTTGCAGGTATCAAAGCAGCGTTGCGCATATATTCTCCAGTGTTGGCGACAAGCCGATTGACAGTCGTTGGCATTTCGAAGGGTCGACCTGGAGTCTTTGTCCTCGCGCGCCAGGTTGCAGCATTCCGCGCTAAGCTCATTGCCTCTGCCATGGTTGTGGCCAGGAATACCATCAACACTGAAAACCCTTGCTCCGCCAGTATACCTTCCATGGCTTCCACAACACGCGCTGGGCGATGAGACAACTACTGGGGGGGGGCAAGAGGGACGCCCGAACATGTTCAAAACATGTTTGCTTGGCCATGCTCCCAGGGCAACATAATCAGACCTCATCGAAATACAGATAACGCACAATATGTTGCTCACCTTCCGGTGTGGCTCGAACCATCTGCGCGACGAGCCGCAGTTCGAGATCGTTCCACGCGCAACGTGCCCAGGTCGCAGCGCGTGACGCATTCGCTCCGCGCGGGTGACAGGCATGTCCCCGCCTGCCCCTCCCATGGCCCCCCCCTCCGCTCTCGATCGAGGATCGATCCTCGATCGATCCTCGATCCTCGATCCTCGATGTCGCTCGATCTCGATCGGCCCCTCGAGCCTCGATCCTCGATCGATCGATCGTCGATCCTCTGTCCTGTGCCTCCCGCTTGGGTTCGGGAGGGTCACCGGGCCCCCGGGCTCCGCCCCCGCCCCCGCCCTTTCGTCCCTGCAGGAGCTACGGGGGCAGCGTTTAGCACACATAGGATGGTTAAACCTATAGGATTTTGAATCCATGACCAATCCATGGATCATTTTTTTCATGCACCCATCGCTGTTCTTGATGCTGAATCGCTGCATTTCTAATCCGTCCTCCGCACGCGGAGCGTGTATGAAAAGCGGCACTGCAGGTGGGTTGAGTGCAGAGTTGGGCGCCCGAGTTATCCGGGGTAACTCGGGTCCGGGGTAACTCGGGTTGGGATTCCCGAAAAAGGAACCCGAGTTAGCCCTGACCCGAGTTACCCCTGATGATTCGGGGCTCTGGACGCCCGAACTATCCGGGGTAAGTCGGGTCCGGGGTAAGTCGGGTTCGGGTTCCCGAAAGACAAACCCGAGTTATCCCTGACCCGAGTTACCCCTGATGATTCGGGGCTCTGACAAAGCGCCTTCGGGTCGCGGGTCATCGAGGCCAGCGCAGCCGAATCGGAGGAGCCCGCGGAGGAAGGCGGCGGAGGGGGCGCGGCGGTCCCTGCCATCGTGCCCGATGCCGACGCTGGTCACCGCTCGGACGTCCATTCCCTGCGCTTTTCCAGGTTTCGTGCGTGTTTTTTTCGCCAAATGATCAAGGATGCTCCTCGATGGCCCTCCCCGAAGGAAAAATGCACACGTCCGAGCGATGCCAGGCTTAGGATCGCGGGCAGTCGAGGCCAGCGCAGCCGAATCGGAGGAGCCCGCGGGTGCAGGCGGTGGAGTGGGCGCCCACTGTGGGAGGAGGAGGAGGAGGAGGAGGAGGAGGAGGAGGAGGAGGAGGAGGAGGAGGAGGAAGGAGGAGGGGGAGGAGGAGGAGGAGGAGGAGGAGGAGGAGGAGGAGGAGGAGGAGGAGGAGGAGGAGGGAGGAGGAGGAGGAGGAGGAGGAGGAGGGGGGGGGGGGGGGGGGAGGTGGAGGAGGAGGCGAGGGTGGTGGTGGAGGGGGCGTGGCGGTCCCCGTCGTCGTGCCCGATGCCGACGCGGCGCAGGGTCGCGCAAGGGCGCGGGCGCGCGCATGGCCGCCAGGAGGAACGCCTCGGAGGAACGGGGTCCCGGCGGACAAGGGCCCCTGGGCCCCGTCCGGGGGACCAGGAGGAGGAGGAGGCGGAGGAGGAGGAGGAGGAGGAGGAGGAGAGGAGGAGGAGGAGGAAGAGGAGGAGGAGGAGGGAGGAGGAGGAGGAGGAGGAGGAGGAGGAGGAGGGAGGAGGGGGGAGATGGGGGAGGAGGGGAGGAGGAGGAGGAGGAGGAGGAGGAGGAGGAGGAGGAGGAGGAGGAGGAGGAGGGAGGAGGGGAGGAGGGGGAGGAGGAGGAGGAGGAGGAGGAGGAGGAAGAGGGGGGGGGGAGGAGGAGGAGGAGGAGGAGGAGGAGGAGGAGGAGGAGGAGGAGGAGGAGGAGGAGGAGGAGGAGGAGGAACGGGGACCTCCCCCGGGGCCGGCGTGGCCGTCCAGAGAGGGCTGCCTCGGGCGGGGCTCGTGCCCTTGGGGGGGCGGGGGCGGGGGGCAGAGGCCGAGGGCGCGGCGGGTGGGCCTCTGGGGCCCTCCTGAGGGCTCGAGAGGTCCTCGGGCACCCCTGCAGGCCTCGAGGATCGAGGATCGGTCCTCGAAAGATCGAGGATCGAGGATCGATCGAGGATTGATCGAGGATCGATCCTCGATCGAGAGCCGATCGAGATCGGAGGGGGGGGCCATTGGAGGGGCAGGCGGGGACGTCGATGAGGTCTGATTATGTTGCCCTCGGGCACCCCTTCAGGCCCTCCCCGAGGATCGAGGCTCGAGGCTCGAGGATCCATCGAGGCTCGAGGCTTGAGAATCGGGCCCTCCTCTCCTCCTCTGTTGCCGGGGCGGGAGAAGGAGGCCGCGAGGTCGATGGGCTGCCGCCGCACATGCAGGCGCGTCGAAGAGCAGGCGCCTCCCTGTGCCCCCCCCCCGCCAGCTGCGAGACCACGGGCTCCCCTGCAGAGCCTGCCTTTTGGACCCGCTTGCGATCGCGTTTGCGGCGCGTTCGCCCTCTGCGCATCTATGCTGCCGACCCTCTTGCCCCCCTTTGCTTGCTCCTCCCCTCCGCTCTCTCCTCCTCCTCCTCCTGCTCCTCCTCTTCCTCCTCCTCCTCCTCCTCCTCCTCCTCCTCCTCCTCCTCTCCCTCCTCCTCCTCCTCCTCCTCCTCCTCCTCCTCCTCCTCCTCCTCCCAGGCCCACTGGGGTCGGCGGCGGTGGGAGCGGCCTGCTTGGACGCGGGGAAGGTGAACGAGCGCTCGATGCTCACCTGCGGCTGGCGCAGGCGGTCGGCGACGCTGGCGTCGTCGTCGCCGCTGGCAACGGGGAGGGGGAAGAGGAGGCGGCGGAAGAGGAAGATCAAGGAGGAGGAGGAGGAGGAGGGGGAGGAGGAGGTGGGGGAGGAGGAGGAGGGGGAGGAGGAGGAGGGGTATGGGGGAGGGGGAGGGGGAGGAGGGCGGGTGGGGGGCGAGGAAGTTAGGAGGCAACTACCGGGACGTCTTCGTCGAAGGACTGAAGAAGATGAAGCCCCATCGGGCGGCTGCTACGCCGGATGAGGCCGCGGAGCAGTCGGGATTGCGCAGGAGAAAGCGGGGTTCATCTGGATGAAGCCAGATGTCGAACCAGGGCTAAATAAGATGCCAGAAAAAAGGCGGAAGAGAAGGGCCAGAGGGAAGGACAGGAGGGGGAGGAGGACGCGGGGGGGAGCAAGGAAGGAGAGGAGGCTGAGGGTCAGGGCGGGGTGAGGAGGGGCGGAAGGGAGAAACAGGAAGAGGAGAAAACATATGGGGACGGAAGAGGATAAGACAGAAGAGGAAGAAGAGAAGACATATTGGGGGGGGACAGATAGGGGGCTTCCGTGCACAACACAGATCATACTCAGATATGCTATCTGAATATGATATGTGATTATGTGATTTGCATCGTCGATAGCCGACGATCATCGATCGTCGGCAATCGACGACCATCGGCAATGCTGAAGTACACCTTCCCGCTCGGAGTCCCCGCCAGATGATAAGCTCGTGCAGGCACCTCTTCTCGCTGCGGGAAGCGCCCCCCACTGCACGACGAGCGTCTGGTGGGCGTATCATCACGCACGAGAGGCCCCTTGTCGGGGAGACGTAAGACCCGGGTACGGGGGACTCGGAAATCCCCGACGAGGTCGTCAAAAAAATGACGAGGCCGAGCCTGCATTTTGACGAGGCCTCCCGCTGCAGACATCCCACAAAACTCCTCCTCGTCAAAATCCGAGTCGCGGTCGTCAAAAAACGATGGCGAACCCGGGTCCTGGCAAACCCGGGTCTTACGCTCCCCCGACCTTGGGGAAAGGATGAGCCCTCCATCCCTTCAGGGTGGTAATCTGAGAAGCCCGGAGAGGATCGGCCCTTTATCCTTCCAGGGTGATGAGTTAGACAAGCCCGAAGAAATTCGCCGGCCCAACGGGCCAGGGCGTGCTAAGATCTCCGGTACCTGGTTGACAGTATTTCTAGTTCGCGCGCGCGGGGCGGCCCCTGGGGGTCCCCAGACGAAAAGTACCCCAGCAAGGTCCCGGCAAGTCTCCGGCAAGGTCGGGTCAGAGATGCCGGAGTTCTGTTTCGGAGTCCAAGAGGGCTCCAGATCGGTCCAAGAGGGCCCCGAGAAGCTTTCTAGACGGTCCAAGAGAGGCCCGAGACGGCCAAAGATCGCCCGAAGACGCCCCAGATGGCCCCAAGACAGCCCAAGAGGCCTCCAAGACGCTCCAAGGGCCTTCCAAGAGGCCTCCGAAGAGGGGCCCAATGCCAAAATCGTTGATTTTAATTGTTTTTTTCGATGTTTTCTTGCGTTCTGGCCTTTTCGCTTCCGGACGCTCCAAGAGGGCCCAAGAGGCCTTCAAGACTGCTCCAAGACGGCCCACGAGGCTCCCAAGACGGCCCCGGAGCGGCCCAAGAGCGCCCCCCAGACGGCCCAAGTGCTGCCCAAGGCGGACCAAGAGGCCCCAAGACGGGCCCAAGAGGGGCTCAAGAAGGGAACCGAGAACTGAAAAATCGAGCCCTCCGCCCCAGAAGGCGCCCAGGACCCCGAAAGAGGCCCCAAGAGACTCTCCAAGACACCCCCAAGACGCCCCAATAAGCTCCCGTGAGGCCCCAAGAGGACCAACAACGTCAGGCCCCAGGCCCCAAGAGGACCAACAAATACCGCCAAGAGCCCGCCGAAAGCCCCCCAAGAGACCGTCACGAGAGCTCAGGAGGCCCCCTGGAGGCCTCCCGAGTTCTCCAAGAGGCCTAAAAAGAGGCGCCAAGAGGCCCCAAACGGCCCCACCGAGGCTCCAAGAGGCCACGAACGCGCAAGCAAACGCCTGCGATGGCACAATACGGGCCGGCGGAATGAGCGAAGCGATTAAATATCCAACAGCAACCGCAGATTGCCATGACCTGTCCTCCATCCGTGTCAGTGCAGAACGTTGCGAGAGTCCTGGTCATACAATTCTGGGAGCCTCAAGCAGGAGCCCCATGTTGAGAAGGAGCCCATCTCTATCAAGGTAACCGTTGCACGGCCTGGTTTTCCGGACCAGGGCATTTGAGGAATCGGAAGTGTTGGCCGCATTCTGACAACGCACAAACTTCCACAAATGTAACCTCTGCAAAACGTCAAATCGAATAAGCGCGGCCAAGTGATGGGCTGGAACCGCATTTTGGAAGCGGCCGGCCCTCCATCCGTGTAGTCGACTGCACGCAAGAGTGACCCTGGGTAAGAGTGACCTTTGGACCGCAGCTTTTGGGGAGCCGCTGGGGGACCTAACACGAGCGCGCAAGACGCTACTATCGCATCGCGCTCGGCGATCGGGAGACCCCAGTGGACCCGCACCAAAGGTCACTCCGGCGAAGGGCCACTCTTACGTGTAATGGATGTAACCGATGGACCCTTCTGGGTGCGGCTTGCAACGGGTGTGACTTACAACCGGCACCCTGCCCAGACCCCCTCGGGAAATGAAGAATTCATGACGGGAAGCTTTGCGCTATTTGCTGCCTCTGGGGGCCCTTACCGGGCCTCGGGAACGTCACAAATCGACTCAGGATGAACAACTGGTCCTGGGAAATGGCTCGAGACATTTTGGGGTCGACGTCATGAAAATCACGACGTCGGGGGTCTGGAAGAGGAGGAGGAGGAGGAGGAGGAGGAGGAGGAGGAGGAGGGAGGAAGAGGAGGAGAAGGAAGAAGAGGAGGGCACCATGGGGGGGGGGGCGGGGACCTCGAGAGTTCTCCGCCGCGCCCCGAGAGCCGACAAGGACAGGCCCGTGCCCAACGCTTCAAAACCTTCCAAATTCTGACAAGTCGAAGCCCAAGAATTCGAGCATCTGGTGACCCAAACCACACCCCAGCGTGCTCCAGATTTCGTAATAAAAGGGAGGGGGTCTCAACCCTCCCAGACGAGAAGTTTTAGACCCCGCCCTCCAAAACATCGTCCCCAGACCCCCCCAGGCCCTCCAAGATAGCCTGGAAGAGACCCCCCCCGAAATGAGACCCCCCTCCCTTTATTACGAAATCTGGAGTAACCGCACCCTCTGTCACTCGCCGAAGGCTCGACGTCGCCGCCCCATGATCGGCATCGCCGCTCATGCTGGTGGTAGTGTGGTAGTGTGGTTGAGCAGGGACCGACCGTCCCGGCATTCCTATAGTCATACCACGACATGTTCTGATCAGGGGGACGTAAGACCTGGGTACAGGGGACTCGGAAATCCCCGACGAGGTCGTCAAAAAAATGACGAGGCCGAGCCTGCACTTTGACGAGGCCTCCCGCTGCAGACATCCCACGAAACTCCTCCTCGTCAAAATCCGAGGCGCGTTCGTCAAAAAACGATGGCGAACCCGAGTCCTGGCAAACCCAGGTCTTACGCTCCCCCGATCTTAGAAACCCACAAATGTTCTAAGAACAAAAACGATGTTCTTAGAACAGAAGCCCGATGTGTTAGAACGAGGCAGTCCCAGCCAGAAATGTCCTCTGAGAACAGTTCGTGGCAACCACAAAGAGGTTCTTAGAACATTGTTTGGTAGGGCTATAGTCGGGAGCGGCCAAGAGGGGGGTGTCCAAGAGGGGGGGGTGCAAATCATGACCGGCGGCATGTGCGCGGCCCAGCGGGGGGGCCAGGGACGTAATGAAATTAGAAGAGGCGCCACGAAATCTGGGGAAATACCATGGCCCCCGCCATGATATCCCCCCCCCCCCCCTAGTCATCACCCCCCTCTTCTCCGCCCCCGATATAGGCGAGCCAGGACGCTTCGCCACTGCTTGAAATGGTGGGTGACCCACAGGGGGGCTTGCGAACAAGGCTCCGCAGGGGCCCGGTCGGGCCCATCTGTGGGGCCCCTGCGGGCTCCAAAAAGAAAGGGGCCCGAAGGCTTGCCGTCGCTCGGGCGTCCATTTCCCGTGCATGTTTCGATAACGCCGCAGGCCTAGAGATTGACACCAACACCAATTTCGGCGGTGTGCCTCCACCGAGGGAAGAAGATCCCGATCTCGGTGATGGTGGTAATATTCTGGCTTCCATGGTGGCCGAACTAGTACCACCAACACCGAGAATCTATGATCATCTTCCCCCTGTGGAGGCAGCCCCCTGTCTTGGTGTTGGTGCCAATTTCCAGGCCTCCGATTTCGTGCGTGTTTTTTGTTGCTCGATGGTCCAGGATGGTCCTCGATGGTTCTCGCCGAGGAAAAAAAAAAAAACACGTCCGAGCGATGCCAAGCAAGGGCTCCTTCGGGGCCCTCCCCGGACATGACATGCGACGCCCGGATTTGTTTTCAATACTGGGCCCCCAGGAAGTCCCGACACTTTTCCCGGGACCGGTTCTTCATCCCCAGTCGCCCCTTGACGGCCCCGATGCCCGGCGAGGGCCCCCCGAGGCCGAACACGGCCATAAACCTTCCGCCCCGATTCTTGCTACGACGCGATCCTGTCGGGGCTTTCTTCTCCCACCATATGTGGGTCAACGACTCTTTTTCCGCCCCCCTCGGAGGGCGCCACCAACCCCGCCGTGCGCTGCGGCGCCCCCCCCCCCCGGGAGCTCGGGGCCGCCGCGTACAGGAACCTGTTTTTTTTTAGACTCTGGCAAGGTTTACTTGCATGGACGGGGGGGGGGGGGGGAGCCTGAAGCAAGCCCGGGCGGGGGGGGGGCGCGGGAATCGCGCAAGTCGAAGGGCACTTGCGCGCTGGTATTCGCTTGAAGAGGGGCGAGGGGGGGGGGGGCTCGGGGCCGCCGCGTACGTGCGTCTCCTTCGCCGATGTCCGGGAGCACGAGGCACGAAGCGCGCCCGCACATTGGGCACCGTCTGGGGTGCTGCGGGTGCGGCGCCGAGGCGCCGGAGGGTCAGAGAGCATCAGGATCGGGCGAAGAGAAATATGCACATGCACCGATCCTGGCAAGGCCCATCCTGGACCCAGGATCGGTGTACATGCCTTCCTGGCCAATGTAGGAGGGCGTATGCACCGATCCTGGGCTCAGGATGGGCCTGGCCGGAATCGGTGTATGTGCATAGTTCTTTTTCCTCTACAGGACCCATTCGAAAATCCTGCTCGGTCTTGCTCCGGAGCTCCGTTTACTTCGGCCGATGCCCGGAGGGCGTGCAGAAACCGATCCCGGGGCCCAGGACTGGACTGGCCAGGATCGGCTGGGACACGTTTCACTACTCGCAGAGTAGCTGCTCGCTATATGGCCTTCATCTGCCGCGGGGGATCGCGGTAGATTACATCGAGGTGAACAAACGTTTCTTTTTTCGGACGCTTGCGAGTAGGCACGTTGCGAGTTGTGGGGCGCGCTCGATGAGTGAAGTTGGCGTCCTCGTTTCGTCGGTGGGCCCGGGGAGACATGAGAAAGGGGGGCCTTGTCAGAAGGCTCGGAAAAACCCAACCCTTCCGAAAAATGTCCCTGACCTTCCCTGGCGAAGACACGGAACATCTCTCAGAAGGCCAGAGGGCTTCCGAGAAGCCCCGCCGCCTTCTGAAAGTGCCTCCTCCTCCTCCTCCTCCTCCTCCTCCTCACTTCCCCCCCTCGCTCGCCGCCGATCCGTACCACCCGCCCGAGATCCCGAGCCCAGGAGTCGCCTTTGTGAACGTTTCTTTTTTCCTGGGTAACGGTCGTTTCGGGAGCGGCCAAGAGGGGGGTGTCCAAGAGGGGGGGGTGCAAATCATGACCGGCGGCATGTGCGCGGCCCAGCGGGGGGGCCAGGGACGTAATGAAATAAGAAGAGGCGCCATGAGATCTGGGGAAATATCATGGCCCCCGCCATGATATATACCCCCCCTAGTCATCACCCCCCTCTTTTCCGCCCCCGATCGTTACCCCCGGGGGGTGTCGGGCGGGAAGGTGATGGGAACGTCGGCCGCGGCGTGCACCCGCCAGGGTAAGTCCGCGCCACCGGCGCAGCAGTCGCCTCTGTGCACCACAGAACGCAGGACGGGGGGCCAGGCCCACCCCCCCCAGTACGATCGATTGCGTTTTGACAGCGAGCGAGGGGGGGAATGAGAAGGAGCAGGCCTTCTCAGAAGGCTCGGAAGTCCCCCTGCCCTCTGAGAAGTGTCCTAACACTTCCCTGAAGACAACAACTTCTCAGCAGGCGAGAGGGCTCCTGAGAAGTCCGCCGCCGCCTCCCGAGAAGGCCCTCTCCCTCTCACTTCCCCCCCTCGCTCGCCGCCGAGTGGTACCCCGGAGAGGGGGGACGGGGGGCTTGGCCTGGGTAACGAGCGTTGCCCTGCAGGGCAGTTTTTTTGTTTGTTTAAATACATTGGACTTTAAAAGCATATAGGATTTTCGGTACATGATTCATGTATGAATAAATATATGCATGAACCCATCGTTGTGTTTGATGCTAAATCCCTGCATGTGTTATACATGATCCGCACGCGGAGCATGTATTAAAAGCGGCACTGTAGGAAGGAAAGCTCGAGTCGCTCCCCTGGGAAGGACTAGCATCGCGGCATCGCCGCCCAGTCCGCCTGCACAGGTCCTGGCCAGGGCCGTCCTCGGCCTCCCCCTGGGGGGGCCCGCAGGCACACCCGCCCCCGCCTCGCGAGGCTGGGCGTGGGCACCAGCCCTGGGCGCAAGAGGGGCCCCGGGGAGGCGCGCCTCTCGGGAAGTATACCGCTGGCGCCCGATGGGCCCCAGAGGCTCTCGAGATGGGACCGCGCAGCGGCTGCCTGCCTGGCTCGAGGGACCTGCGGGCAGGCGCAGCACTGGCACGGGGAGGAGCGCCACTCGGGAGGCAGAGCGGGCGCCCGAGGGAGCCAAGAGGCTCTCGGGGTGCGACTGCGCAGCTTCGGGCGCGCACGCTGCCATGGACTAGCGAATGCGTGGACCTGGCGCGCGGTCGCCGGAGCCATGGATCGGTGCAGGTACCCCCCTGAAACATGAAGCCAGTGCCGCCGCATCTGCTGGAAACGGGAATTCGCCGGCCCAACGGACCAGGGCGTGCTAAGATCTCCGGTAACTGGTTAACAGTATTAACAGTATTTCTAGTTCGCGCGCGCGGGGCGGCCCCTGGGGGTCCCCCGGCGAAAAGTACCCCGACCAACGCCCGGTCGCCGCCCGACCGCCGCCCGACCAAGTCTACTCAGAGATGGTTTTCCTTCTGGGTGCGGCCTCTCAGGCTCCCCAGAGCGCGCTCAGAGTGCCCCAAGAGGCCCCCAAGACTGCCCAAGAGGCCCCCGAGACGCCCAAAGAGCGCTCGAAGACGCCGAAGATGACCCCAAGACGGCCCAAAAGGCCCCCAAGACAGCCCAAGAGGCCTCCAAGACGCCCCAAGAGCCTTCCAAGAGGCCTCCGAAGAGAGCCCCAAGAGGCCAAAATCGTTGATTTTCATTGGTTTTTTCTATGTTTTTTGTGTTCTGGCTTTTTCGGCTTCCGGACGCTCCAAGACGGCCCAAGAGGCCCCCAAGACCGCTCCAAGACGGCCCACGAAGCTCCCAAGACGGCGCCGAAACGACCCAAGAGAGCCCTCAAGACGGCCCAAGTGCCGCCCAAGACGGACCAAGAGGCCCCAAGACGGGCCCAAGAGGGACTCAGGAGGGATACCGAGAACTCAAAAATGGAGCCCTCCGTCCCAGAAGGCGCCCAGGAGGTCCCAAAGAGGCCCCAAGAGGCCTCCAAGAGGCCCCAAGATGTCGCCAAGAGGCCCCAGGAGACTCCCAGGAGGCCCAAAAGAAGCCCCAGAAGGCTTCAAACATGTCTCCCAGGCGCCCCCGAACGGCCTCTCAACAGACCCCAAGAGGCCCCCCAAAGAAGCATCTTGACGACGACTCTATTTCGCCCCATCGAGAGACGACCCCCAGGGAACTGCTTCACCATCAAAACTCCCCACGCAACGCGTCCGAACGACACCCGCCCCCAAGAGCGCAACATGGGCAACGAACACACAGACAAAAACCAGCGATGCCATATCACGGGCCGGCGGAATGAGCGAAGCGATTCAATAAAGGGAGACCTGACACGGGGGAGGAGGACGAGGACGGAGGCAATTCCAAGGGTCCCAGTCGGGGCCAATCCTTCCAGTCTGCCCCAAGGGAGGGGGCGGGAGCGTGGAGAGAGCGGGAAGCGGGAGGGGCGGGAGGAATGAGGCGGAGGTCGTCGCCGTCGCCGCAGCCACCGCATGTCCATGCCCATGTCCACGTCATCGCCGTCGTCGTCAGCGTCGTCGTCGCCGTCGTCGTCGTCATCGTCGTCGTTGTTGTCGTCGTCATCGTCGTCGCACGTCGTTGCCGCGCGTCGTTGCCGCGCGTCGTGTCGCACGTCGTCGTCGCACGCCGTCGTCGCACGTCGTCGTCGTCGTCGTCGTCGCACGCCGTCGTCGCGCGTCGCGCGCCGCACGTCGCACGTCGCACGTCGCACGTCCGCGTCTGCGTCCACGCTGTCGTCGTCGTATTCATTGGGGGGAACACAAACCCACCTCGCTTTTGACCACCCTCGCTTGCCAAAGGATACCATGCGATGCCAAACTGCGGCCTGTACTGGTCAGGCCGCTCGACGAGGAGGCGCGTGGTATGACTTGGTTTTTCCTGGAAGCGAAAGCGGGGGAGGTAGTTCACGCTCTGATTCATGGTCGTCGTCGTCGTCGTCACACGTCGTCGTCGCACGTCGTCGCCGTCGCCGCCGCCTCTGGGGCCGCCGCGGGCAGAGGGCCGCGGCGCACGCGGCGGCGGCGACCAAAGAGGTGGGGCGCGCCTGCTGCCGGGAGGACAGGAAGGAGCGCTTGGGCCGGATGAGGACATCCTGGGGCGCGCCATCGCTCGGACGTCCATTCCCCGAGTTTTTGTTCGGTTTCGTGCGTGGTCTTTTCGCCAGATGACCAAGGATGCTCCTCGATGGTCCTCGCCGAAAGAAAAATTCACACGTCCGAGCGATGCCAAGGGGGGGAAGGAGCGGAGGGGGAGGCCCAGGCGCTCAAGGCCAGCACCTCCTCCTCCTCCTCTCTCCTCCGCCTCCTCAGCACCCCCCCCCATCCTTCTCATGCTCTTCTCCTCTCCCCTCCCTCCTCCTCCCTCCTCCTCCTCCTCCTCCTCCTCCTCGTCCTCCTCCTCCTCCTCGCTCGTCCTCCTCGCTCCTCCCTCCTGCTCCTCCTCCTCGCTCCTCCTCCTCCTCCTCCTCCTCCTCCTCCTCCTCCTCCTCCTCCTCCTCCTCCTCCTTCCTCCGGAGGTCGTCGGGTGTCGGGAGGGAGATGGAGACTCCTTGAAGTCCAGCTTCACCTCGGACTCAATGTGCGGCATCTCCCCGCTGGACCCAGAGGAGGGCCCGTCGAGACCACAGCGGCTCCTCTGCCTGGTCCACACTCCCTCGAAATCGGCCCCAGGACCCCTCCCGCGGTCCACCCTGCCGTGTTCTTCGAGGCGGATCCAGCTCTGGCGGCGAGCAGCTCCCAGAGGGCCCCCCAAAGAAGAAAGAACGCAAGGGAGGGCCGCCTTCTCCTTGACCGGCCCTCTTCCGCTGGACGACGCGCGAGGCGAGGAGGGGGCAATGCTGCGGCTCGAGGGTTTGGGCCGATGACTGCGCGCGGGGAGGGCACGGACAGGCGGGGAGGCCGAGGAGGAGAGAGCGAGGAGGAGACTCCGGAGACTCTGCCTGATCACGTAGCGGTAGGAATCCACTTCCGCCACAATCCCACAGTGGGTGAGTAGTGCGTAGCGAGTAGTGCGTAGCGGGTAGCTAAATATTTCGTATTGGGTAGCGAGTAGCGGATAGTGAGTCATGACTTGTGGGCAGTGCGTAGTGAGTAGTGAATTGTGAGAACTCAGTAGTAAGTAGTGGTTAGAGGGTAGTGAGTAGTGCTTAGTGAGTAGTGTTTAGTGAGTACTGGGTGCTGGGTAGTGAGGTGGGAGTAGCGAGTAGGGAGTAGTAGGAAGTAGTGAGTACTGGGAGCGTAGTGAGTAGTGAGTAGTGGGTAGTGAATAGTGCGCACTGGGTAGCGAGTAGGGCGTAGGAAGTAGCGAGTAGTGAGTACTGTGTAGGGAGCAGCGAGTAGTGGATAGTAAGTAATGAGTTGTGGGCAGTGAGTAGTGAGCAGTGAAGTGTGAGTAGTGAGTCGTGGATAGTGGTTAGTTAGTGGGTAGTGAGTAGTGATTTGTGATTAGTGAGTAGTGGGTTGGGAGTTGTTTGTTGGGTACTGAGTAGTGAGTAGTGGGTAGTGAGTAGTTTGTAGTGAGAGGTGAGTGCGGATTAGTGAGTAGTGGGCAGTGGATCGTGAGTAGTGAGCCGTGGGTACATAGTGAGTAGTGAAAAGTGAGTAGTGAGTACTGTTTGGGGCTACGGTTTGGGTTTGGGGTTAGGGTTCGGCGTTAGGGTAAGGGTGAGGATTAGTGTTAAGGGTGGTAGGGGTCGGGTTCCAGAGACTGGGGGCGCCGTGGCGAAAGGGGGGGAAGAGAGGGGGGGGGCCGAATTTGGCGGCCAAAGGGGGGGAGGGGGGGGGGTTCGGACCCCCCCCCTTTTGAAGGGGGGGGGGGTCCCCGACGACGGACCGGGAAAGGGGGGAGGGGAGGGGTCCCGACGACGGATCGGGAAAAGGGCCCCCCCCCCCTGGGGACATCCAGCGGCGCGCCCTCCTCCTTTGGCCTTCTCCTCCTCCTCCCTCCTCCTCCTCCTCCTCCTCCTCCTCCTCCTCTCCCCCCCCCTCCTCGTGGTTTTCCTCCTCCTTTCTCCTCCTCATCCTCCTCCTCCTTATCCTCCTCTTCCTCCTCCTCCTCCTTGTCCTTCCCCCCCCTCCCCCCTCTCCCCCCTCTCCCCTCCTTCGCCTCCAAGTAGGCCCTGCCCTCCGCCCCGGCGCGCGCTCTTTGGTTTCTCCTGCCGCGCCAGGCCCCGCTCCGCGCCGCACGGCTTTGCCGCCTCTGGCGCGTGCCAGCGGGTGCCCGGACAGCAGCGGGGGAGGAGGGGGAGGAGGGGAACGAGGGGAACGAGGGGGAGGAGGAGGAGGAGGAGGAGGAGGAGGAGGAGGAGGAGGAGGAGGAGGAGGAGGAGGAGGAGGAGGAGGACGAGGAGGAGGAGGAGGAGGAGGAGGAGGACGAGGAGGAGGAGGAGGAGGAGGAGGAGGAGGGGAACGAGGAGAGGGAGGCATGGGAGGAGGAGGGGGCCGAGGAGGGAGAGGCATGGGATGGAGGAGGCAGGATGGGGGAAGGTCGAGGAGGCAGCGGGCTAGTGGCAGGGGGGGGGAGAGGAGGAGACTGGGTAGTCGAAGCTAATCTGGCGCCAATCTGATAGGCCCAATCTGGCAAACGGGGGCAATCTGGCGAGGGAGCCAACGCGAATCCAGCCTGGCGAATAACCCAAATCCTCCAATATGGCCAGGCCAGATTGGCCCTTGGGGCCCAATCCAGTCTGACAGTCTGGCCTTCGACTACCCAGGGAGAGGAAGGTGCAGAGGAAACGGCCCGCCGAGGGGGTGCGGCCGCGGCGGCCCGAGCGAGCCCGGGATGCGCTGGCGATGCTGCAGCGCACGCTCCCGTCCAGCGCCCCAGCCTGGACGGGTCCCTGTAGAAGCTCTGTCTTCCCCAGACTCAGGAGGCGCCCGCTTGAGAGACCGACGCCCAGTGGACCTGCCCTTCGAGTGGGAGCCCCCCTGTAAACAGAAACTGCCCCGCCACTGTCTGGCGAGTAGTAGAGACTGCACAAGAACGTCTGATCGTACAGTCGGGGCCCTGAAGAAGGAACCCTTTTCGTTGGGGAGGGGCTCCGCGTTCCTGAAGTGTTTCGCAACTTGCCTCAGGTTTTCCTTATGTTTTCGATCGGAAATCGAAGTTTAACTTATGGAAAAAAGAGGCCTCGTTCCTTAGTTTGGGTTCCTTAGGTCAAGGCCCCGACTGTACAGTTCAACGAGGTGTCCAGCGATACCCCCCGTTCCGCAAAACGAACCGCCTCCACGAGCGTAACTCCTGCACAACTTGTCCTACCTGGCCATGTGCGACGAGGAAGTCTCGAGCGACTGACCCCTTTCGAAAAGGATCTGAATACACGAGTGTGCTCGTCGAACTAACGAAGACGTCATAAATGACGTGTTTTGCAAAGACAGCGCCCCGCGTCACCTCACTTCTTCTCCCGCTGCCCCGTCCCTCCTCCCCTCCTCCTCCTCCTCCTCCTCCTCCTCCTCCTCCTTATCATCATCATCATCATCATCAGCAGCAGCAGCATCATCATCACCATCATCATCATCATCATCATCAACAACATCAACATCATCAACACCACCATCGGTATCTCTGCATCATCGTCACCACCATGATCATCATCATCATTATCATCATCATCATCATCATCATCATCATCATCATCATCAGCATCATCATTAGCATCGACATCATTACTTGCATCATCATCATCACCATCACCATCATCCTCCTCATCATCACAATCCGCCGACCCCTTGGGGATCATCGGCGTGTGAGATGCTTCCCCCTCCCCAAACCCCTCCCCCGGGAGCCCGGTCCGGTCGATTTGGAGGGGGGGGGGGTCCGGGACGAGCGCTCCACGGGGCTTTTCCTGGCCCAAGAGGGCTTCAAGACGGGCCACGAAGCCCCCAAGAGGCCTCCAAGACGGCCCACGAAGGCTCCGAGAAGCCAAACGACCGCTCCAAGACGACCACGATGGCCCCAAGACGGGCCAAGAGGTCTCCAAGACGGCCCCTGAGGTCCCAAACAAGCCTCCCAAGAGGGCCCCAAGAGTCTAAAATTGTTGATTTTCCATAGTGTTTTTCGATGTTTTTTGCTTTTCCGCCTTTTCGGCTTCCCGACGCTCCAAGACGGCCAAAGAGGCCCCAAAGACAGCCCCAAGATGGCCCAAGAGGCCCCCAAGACGGCCTCCAGACGGCCCAAGACGGCCCCAACACGGCCCAAGAGGTCCCCAAGACGGCCCAAGAGGGCTCCAAGACGGCACCACGAGGGGCCCAAGAGGGCGACCAAACATGTTGAAACTCTAGCTTTCTGCCCCCAGGAGCCCCAGGGGGCCCCAAGAGTGCCCCAAGAGGCCCCCAGAGGCCCTCACGAGGCCGCCCAGACGCCCCAAGGAACCCCCAAGAAGCACCCCAGAGGCTCCGAAACGGCCCCCGAGTGGCTCCAAAACTCGCAGTGTCGCTGTCCGCTCGGACCTCCCCGCGGAACTGCCCGAGACCCTCTGGCGGTGGCGGCGAACAGACACCAAACAAATATCACTCGCCTTTTCACCCCTTCGCAGCTTCTACTACCCCCAGATTGGCATAAACAAGGGGTCGGCGGTGTGGCGTAAGCCTAAGAATCAGCATCATCATCAGCATCACCATCATCAACATCATCATCATCGCCATCATGATCATCATCATCACCATTATCATCATCATCATCATCATCATCATCATCATCATCATCATCATCACAATCATCAATATGATGGCCGTCATCACCACACCATCAAAGAACTCCACCGAAAGACCCCGTGGAACACTTCGCATGCGTTCCTGCCTTCATTTATGCATACCCATCACGCGTTTCGTGGCCCCAGAGGGAGCCTCACCGAAGGTCCCACTGGCGCAGTTCGCATGCGACCCTGTCACCCATTTCGGCACACCCATCATGCGTTTCGTGGCCCCAAAGAGGATTCCACCCACGGTCCTAGTGGTGCAGTTCGCATGCGCCCCCGCCACCCACTTCGGTACACCCCTGACGCGTTTCGTGGCTCCATAGGGAGCCCCACCGAATGTCCCAGTGGCGCAATTCGCATAGGTCACCGCCGCCAATTTCGGCACACCCATCATGCGCTTCGTGGCCCTACAGTGACCTCCACCCAATGTCGCACTGGCGCAGTAAGCATGCGTCCGCGCCACCGGTCCCGGCACACCCCGCACACGCTTCGTGGCCCCCTAGGGAGCTCGACCGAAGGTCCCACTGGCGCAGTTCGCATGCGTCCCCGCCAACCATTTGGGCACACCCGCGCGCGTTTCGTGGCTCCCAAAGGAGCTCCACCCAAGGGCCCAGTGGCGCAGTTCGCAGGCGTCCTCGCCACCAATTTCGGAACACCCCTCACTCGTTTGATGGCCCCATAGAGAGCTCCAACGAAGGTCCCAGTGCCGCAAATCGCAAGCGATCCCGCCACACATGTCGGCACGCCCCTCACACTCTTCGGGACCCCATACGGACCTCCACTCAAGATCCCACTGGCGCAGTTCGCATGCGCCCCCGCCACACATGCCGGCACGCCCCTCACACGTTCAGTGGCCCCATAGGGAGCTCCACGGAAGGTCCCACTGGCGCAGTTCGCGTGCGCCCCGCCGCCCGCCCCTTTCGGCACAACCTCACATGTTTCGTGGCCCCATAGGGAGCCCCACCGAAGGTCCCAGTGACGCAGTTCGTATGCGTCCCCGCCGTCCATTTCGGCACACCTCTCACGTGTTTCGTGGCCCCATAGAGAGCTCCACTCAAGGTCCCACTGGCGCAGCCCGCATGCGTCCCCGCCGCCCATTTCGGCACACGCTCACATGTTTCGTGGCCCCGTAGGGGGCTCCACCGAAGGCCCCAATTGCTGCGTCCATATGCTTCCCGCGCCCACGTCGGCACACCCCTCACACGGTTCGTTGCCCCATAGGGAGCTCCTCCGGAAGCCCCAGTGGCTGCGTCCACATGCGTCCGCGTCACCGATCTCGGCACACCCTGCACACGCTTCGTGGCCCAATAGGGAGCTCCACCGACGGCCCCAAGGGCGCCGCCCGCATGCGTCCGCGCCCTTTCAGCACACCCCGCACATGTTTCGGGCGGAAGGCAGAGTAGAGAAGAAGATCACGGACGACGTCGGAGGTCGAGGCGACCCCTGCGGGGCGCGCGCGTCGCGGGTGCTCCGCGCTACGCCATGCCCGGAGTCGCGGCCACCGGGGTGCGAGAACACAGAGGGGGGAAACATCTGAGAGCCCACCATCCCGCTCCGCCCCCCCACCCCCCGAAACACTTGCCTGCGCTGCCCCGCGCCTCGTTCTTCCTGCGGCGCGCGGTCTATGAGAGCTACTCAGAGTTTGTGCCCCCCCCTCCTTCGTCTCATCTCCCTCGCCGTACTCGCAGCTGCATCTGGTTGGGTCTTCGCCAGGCAGAATTTGAAAACGACGCTACCTCCATCCTTGCAGCTGTTGCGAATTTCAAGCTTAACCTCAAAGGAAATTCCAGGTCCGCTACACGGCTGCGTCTCGGGATGCTACCTGACGTCCCTACATGTTCTCCAAGCAGTGTTTGTACTGGTTTTTGTCAGGAAAAAGGATCTGGTCCTAGGCGTCGGTCTGGCGGCTCTGTGGTCTCCATCGTCGCCTGGTCGCCGCCCGTCGTCTGGGCCTAGGTGTCGACGGCACTCGTCGCCTGTGTTGTTCATACTTAAGCGTTGTTCAATGAGCCTGGCGAAGAACTCAACCATACGCATAAGTGCGTACCAAAGTTGAGGGTATCGTCTTCCGTGGAGCTCCCTATGAGCCACGAAACGCTGTACGTGGTGGGGGAGACGCATGCGAACTGCGCCACTGGGACCTTCGGTGGAGCTCCCTCTGGGGCCACGAAACGCCCTACTGGGCGGGGGGGGCGCATGCGAACTGCGCCACTGGGACCTTCGGTGGAGCCCCTTCTGGGGCCACGAAACGCCCTACTGGGCGGGGGGGGCGCATGCGAACTGCGCCACTGGGACCTTCGGTGGAGCCCCCTCTGGAGCCACGAAACGCTGTACTGGGCAGGAGGGACGCATGCGAACTGCGCCACTGGGACCTTCGGTGGAGCCCCTTCTGGGGCCACGAAACGCCCTACTGGGCGGGGGGGACGCATGCGAATTGCGCCACTGGGACCTTCGGTGGAGCTCCCTCTGGGGCCACGAAGCGCCTTACTGGGCAGGGGGTGACGCATGCGAACTGCGCCACCGGGACGTTCGGTGGAGCCCATTCTGGGGCCACGAAACGCTGCACTTGGTGGGGCGGGGGTGACGCATGCGAAGTGCGCCACCGGGACCTTCGTTGGAGCTCATATGGGGCCACGAAACGTGTGCCAAACTGAGGGGGATGACGTGAGGAGCGGGAGGAGGAGAGGAGAGGAGAGGAACGCGGGGTACGATCTCTTCTAAACGAGAAATCAACACCACAGGATGCTTGGCAAAATGACCCGCCGACACAGTCGGCGTGTGCGAGAGGTTTGTCTGTCTGGGTCGTCGTCTCTGTCAGTCGTCGTCTGTGTCGCCTCCTTTCCTTGCAACCTCCTGCGAGAAAAAACCTCGCGATGTCGTAACCGAATCGAAGAGAAGCCCCCCCCCCTCTCTCTGATCCCTTCTTTGGACACCCGAAATGGGCACGGAAAGAATGGGCACGGTGCCCAACAACAAATGTTGCCCCAAACCAACAGCGGCCGCTGTTGGGCAGGCGACCTTCTGTCTGGAATGGGCACAGGCTGCGGCGGCGTGGACAGCGAGTCCTGTTCAAAATGAACAGGATCCGCTGTTGGGCA